GTGTGTCTGTGTGTGTGAGTGAGTGAGTGCGTGTGAGTGAGCGTGTGTGAGCGTGCGTGAGCGTGTGTGCGTGCGTGTGTGAGCGTGCGTGCGAGTGTGTGTGTGCGTGCGTGCGAGTGTGTGTGTGTGTGTGTGTGCGTGCGTGCGTGCGTGTGTGTGCGTGTGCGTGAGCGTGTGCGTGAGCGTGTGTGTGTGTGAGTGAGTGAGTGTGTGTGTGAATGGGGGTGAGTCAACAGAGAATCAAAGAAAATGCAGAGTCATTTTACACCGTACCTCTCTTGCTCTCTCGCTTCTCTGTGAAAGATGTTCAATAAAACTACAGCAGCTGAAACTTTGTTCGCAGAAGTGCTGAATTAGATTTGAGCTGATAAAACTAAGACACAGACACAAAACAATATTGGATTCACAGCCATCCTACACAGAAATCTTTTACTTTAGCAAACAGGCAAAAGTACTTGTCTCTCTAAAATGAATCGTCAGTGCACAGCAAAAAAATAAAAATAAAACTCAAATTCACACAATTGAATGCACTTCTACATTGTAAATATATATATTTTTTTTTTTTCAAATGTTTTGTTTAAAATAAAACAAATATTATTTGTGTGAAATTTACAAGAATACGTTATTTCAGTCTTTCTACTTCAACCAGTTTTTTTTTCAGTGCATAGACAATATTCTTACTGTCTGTCTTTCTCTCTCTGTCTGTGTCTGTGTGTGTGTGTGTGTGTGTGTGTGTGTGTGTGTGTGTGTGTGTGTATTTGGATGTAGATGATGTTGGCTGGAATAAAATGAATGTGTCAAGCATTTGCATAGTTCTCAGTTTTGTTCATGATTTGCATGACGATGTAAATCGAAACTGCCATTTTTTTCCACTTAATACATATTCTGGAATGAAATGAAATGTATGAAAATCTGTTTTGCACATCTCTAGTAGAGCTTACTGATGTTTCACCTCTCATGCAACTGGCCAACCTTAGAAAATAATTAAATTAAATTAAATTAAAAATAAAATAAAATAAAATAAAACAAAATAATAAATAAAATAAAATAAAATAAAATAAAATAAAATAAAATAAATAAAATAAAATAAAATAAAATAAAATAAAATAAAATAAAATAAAATACCCTCAACATTCAAAATGACAACTTTATTTATTACGGTCAATACCAAGCTCAGAAAGTTGGAAATCCAGAGTTTCCCACTTGAAATGATGTTCATGGCCTCTTATAAATGCGATCATTCCAACATGACTTGAAGGCGGCGTTATTCCCGGTATGCTTATCAATGTCATTTGCCAGACTGTGGATAATTAACTCTGCTCTCTGCTTGTGTCAAACCATAATTACCCACCCAATTAGGCCCAGATCCGAGCCACAGTTTAACCGTGCCTCATCAGAGACTCCGGGAGCAAAGAACGCTGCTATTGTGAGGACAGATGTCGTCTGCTCCAGTATAAAATGAACCAGGTTTAGGCCTAGTATTGGTTGTGTTTCATTGCTTTGCTTTTTACACTTTTCTATAAATGCGTAGGGATCAATCGGGTCTTTTGATGGTCAGTTCTTTAACTACTACTTCTGGTATTTTGGATGGTACTTTGGATGACCCTCACCTCAAACAACCAGAGAGATTCAAACCAATAACCAACAGCAAACACCAACTTCAGCGAACAGTCTGTCACGTTTGTAGTTGCCAAGCAACAAGATTCACCACAAAAAGATTTTTGACAGGCCTGTTGTATCTTTGTGCACATTTGTGATTGGTGTTACTTACTGTGGCTGATCTGCAGCAGATGGAAATCTCTGTCTTGTAAGTCAGATTTGAATAAACCATCTACCGTCTAACCATATGTAAATGTGTCAGGTTTTCTTATGTTTACATGTTTACAAGTGCAATAATGTCTTCCTCTGTTGCTCTGTCCACATATTTTGTGCCAATAGTGTAGTCTTGGCCAAATGTTGTGTTTGCATGTGATTGCATTACGTGATAAACACACTCTCATGCAGCGGGTGGGGATGAGTGCCCTTCTGAGAGCATATGCACGCATGCAATTCTGTATTAACATTCACAGTGCTGTTTCTGGCTCTTTATTTTTGGTGGCGCACAATCAGTTTCCCAATATGACATTCTAATATATTATAATATAATAATACATGATGCAATTATTGTGGTCCACATCAAATAAAAAATGGCCCCTTTTTGTGTTTCCAGTGATTCAAAGTATGTGAATGCAATCCAAGTGGCTTTAGATAAAATTGAGTGAAAAATGCATACATGTAAAATGATGTACAAATGTAAATTAATCCGCTGATGCTTATTAAAGACCCTGCCACAAGAGGGCGCTGTCATAATGTTTGGATGTATGGGGTATCATTGTACTTTCTACTACTCTCTCTCTCTCTCGCTCTCTCTCTCACACACACACACCTCCATCTCTTGTTATTGTTAAACTATAAATTCATTATGACATCATCACTGGCACAGATTTTGAATTTCTATTAACGTTCTATCAGTGTCAAATGATATTTGCCAAATAGCAGAAAGCAAAAAATATATATTTACAGTCCATGCATCCACTTCAACTGCCCACACAAAACTCCCTTCAAATGCCTCAAAGTGTTTTAGCTGGCAGCACGTGAAATATAAGAGCTGAGGTCAGGTGTCAAACTTTATTAATATCCCAACTCAATGCTTTGACTTTGTAAACGAATATTTGAGGGACTGTTTCACTGCTTTATCTGCTGCTGTTTCTCATGAATGCATGGATTATGCATTCAAAACAATCTATACACAAAACACAAACATGCATGATTTAGGCTTATGGATTTATCATTACTTTTATACTTGTTCAACAGGCAGACACTTGCAGTGTATTCATGTGCATTGCTATCAGTATGCGTTATTCCCTGGAAATCCAACCTGTGACCTTGAATTGAGAATGCATCGTTCTGAAATCATAATTAACAACGGTTGGCATTGTTAGACCATTCCTCCCTCGATAAAATCCTGTCACCATGTAGAGCACAAGGCTTTGGGAGTGTTTGCTTTGGCCAACAGAATCAGAGTGAAACTGGACACTTCATCTGTGCCAGCTCGACCACGCAACGGCACAACATACAGTACGCAGGGCCGCCATCTTGTTCTCAGTGTCCAAACAAGAACTTATTTTTAGCAAGGGTCAAAGCCCTGCAAAACTTAATATGGCAATGGAATCCTGTCGCCCAGCCCAATACCTGTCTTTCAGTGAAAGCACCCAATGCACATGTCGCTCAGTTTGATCATGTTGCTTCCAGCAGGTAAAAACTGTCAAATCTGGCTCCACCCATTTACAGCATTTCTCTTGCTCGACTGTTATTACTAGCTGCGTTGACCCGTAACACAGCCTTCATCCCAACCCTTCATTGACACCCAAGAGGCATCAACTAGTCAACTTGCGCATGTGTCTTTTTAAAAGGGAGCAAGAGAGGGCGGTGGGCGCACGCATTGGACCTTGTTCCTAATAGTTTGGCTTTAGTTAGGAACAAAGTAAAAATCTAAGACATTTTAAACCTTTCAAGTGAAGCATAACAGTGACATGAAGTGGGGTTGGCTGCTGTTGGGGGTTCTGCTAACTTTTGCGTATCTGTGCTGGAGCGAGAAGGGCCTGGAGTTCCCCGAATATGATGGCAAGGACCGCGTCCATCAGCTGACCATCAAGAACTACAAGTCTGTGATGAAGAGATATGATGTAATGGTCATCTACTACCACAAGGCTGTTGGCGAGGACCGCATGTCCAGAAAGCAGTTTGAAGTGGAGGAACTTGCTTTGGAGGTGCGTGGGAAACGATGAGAGAAGAATGAGTGGGAAGGTCCGAGTGAATGTATGAACTGGGCTATAGAGGACCATTGGGTTTCAAGGGAAATGGGGTTGAATTTCACGAAAGCAGGTAGGGTTTTGGATTTCAGTCCAGTCTTGATTTGTACAAAACCAGCCCGATCTCAAAGTAAATGCCCGATGTGAAAGTAGTGCTGAAGTCCAACTAAAGATATACTGAAGTATATTTGATTGTGCTGAAGTGGAACTATTGCAAGTATACTTCAGGTACACTTTAAATGTCTTGCATTTAAAGACCTATATTATTCAAAGATGATGCAAACCTCAATTCGTACGAATTCGTACAACCTCACTCGTACAATCTCACTCGTACAAATTCATATGATTTGTGCTAAATCGTACATATTTTACGAGAGTTGCACAATTCATATGAATTTGTACGAATGACCTACACATAACCCTACCCCTAAACCTACCCGTTACTGGGGTCTAGACAAATCGTACAAAATTGTGCGAGTGAGGTCGTACGAATTAGCCATCTCGTAAAATGCGTACGAATTGGTCATGAAATAGCATTGACAAAACTCTACCTTTGTGCAAAATTAATCATTACTAAATCATTAGCATGATTTAGTAATGATTAATTAAGTAATGACAAATTTATAATTACTCAAATGTATTCGAAATGAATGTATTTCATGCTAAGCATACTACAAGTACATTTACATATGTATGTGCTTAATAAAAATACCCTGCCATTGTACTTTTGGTATACTTAAAGTCTGCTAAATTGGAACAGCTAATACGTAATGCACTTGAATTGTGTGAAAGTAGTGCTGAAGTCCAACTAAAGATATACTGAAGTATATTTGATTGTGCTGAAGTGGAACTATTGCAAGTATACTTCAGGTACACTTTAAATGTCTTGCATTTAAAGACCTATATTATTCAAAGATGATGCAAACCTCATCAAAAGTGATTTTGATGAGCTTAAACATTTACATTTTAGGCTTAATATTACGAAATGTGCATTGTGCACAAATAGTACTCCAAATAAAGTTTAATTATAACTTTTATATCAGTAAGTCCCGAGCGATATGTCAGTAAATATGTTAATAGAATTGAACTATACTTAGTATGAAATAAATGTATTTTAAATATATAATTTTTTCAGTAGGGTGAAGTGATATACATGAAGTGATAGAGTTCTGGCATGAAACTCTAGATGGCGCAGTCCGATAGGTCTAACTCAATCTGACCTAATGACATCATCACATGGCACAGCTGATTGGTTCTCTCCTGTATCGGTAGCCAATGAGCTCGCTGCTCAACATTCAAATATATGACTAGTGTTTGGCGTAGCAGTTGCAGCTTGCTTCAGAAACCCTCCACCTTCCACAGCTCCACCTGTATAGATCTGCTACGAGGTGATTCATGTACGCTATATGGGGGTTATTTCATGTATGTTATATTTGCAGCAGCAGTATTTCTTACATGCTCACAGCAGCATGTTGTGAATGTATTCGCAGCAGCAGCAGCGTAGCAGATCTATTCCACCCAGACCAAATACATTAACATTGTCATGTACATTACCATGCCAATCCCTCCGAGAGTTGTCATGACAGAACTATGAATTATTATCATACTAACAAACATGTTTACTTACTGTGATTTGTGATAAAAGTGAGAATGATAAAAAAGGTCAGACAGCTCATCGCAGCTGTTGTACACTCTTAAAAATAAAGGTTCCCAAAGGGGGGGTTGCTGTGATTCTATTGAGGAGCCATTGGTTCCCCAAAGAACCATTTTTTCTTAGTGTGCAGAACATTTTAATAATGCTTTTCAGCTACAAAGAACCTTTTATGCAATAAAACGTCTCCATGGATGTTAAAGGTTCTTCGTGGAACTACAGAGGTCAGTAAATAACCTTTATTTTTAAGCATGTATGTGTTGATGTTTTTAGCACGCTGCAGTGTCCTCTTACAGTTCAGCTGAGCTGCTGTTAGTCCCTCTGCGAGTAACCAGGAACTCTAGTGCAAAGTCCAAGTGAAAAATCCACCAAGTCTTGAGTGGTTTTCTGATTCTCTTTCTGTCTGTTATTTCATTCATCAGCCGTTTTCAGTCTCTATAACCAATAGGTTTCAACATGACATTTAGGCATTTAGCTGATGTTTTTTTTTAATTTTATTTATTTTTATCCAAAGTGACTTACAAAAGTTAACTTACAAATTTACAATGGTTGAAGTTACAATAAAACAAGTTAAAGCCCCAAAGGTAAAGCCAAAATGCAGCACTGGTTACTTCAGACATTCTTGAGAGTGATCCCACACTCATAAAAAATGTCTACATGAAAAAGTTAGTTCAGGCAATAATAAAAAAAAAAAAGTAAATTCTAAATTGGTACTCAATTCAAGCTTGTAGAAGTTAAAGCGTAAATATAAACGTTATACAATTAAGTAAAATCTGCTTAACTTTTCTGATACTGGTATTCTCATCATGCATTGGGTCAATTAATAAGGCTGATTTTTTTTCTGTTTTCTAGCTGTATTTACACTGTTTTCTCACTGCTTTTGTTGTTAGGTTTAGTAACTTGCGATTTTTTTTTTTTTACATCTGGAGTTCATTTTCTACTCAAAATGACATTCATCCTCAAAAACGAACCACAACGTCACAGTCATTGTGTATTGTGTACCAAGTACTGAAGTCTCTGTGTTCAGATGAGTGCCACATTACTAATTATGTAGATGTGATGTTTACATGATATCGATTGTATTATTTACTTTAAAAGCCTGGTTTAATTAAGTGCTATATTAAGTAAAATCAAAGTATTTCCAAGTAAGCTTTGACTTAGTAAAAATTACTCAAACTTTTACTGGTCAAGCTATTTTCTTTGGTAAATTAACTAAGGTAAGTAGATTTTACTTAATTCTATATGTAGAAAAAAAAATGTACTTAATTTCTTTATGAATATTAAGTTCAACTGTAAGTAAATACAGAACAGTAGCAGTAAAATTTACTTAAAATGTGTAAACTGTTACAAAGTTTATTATTTTTATTTATTTATTATTATTATTTTTTTTTTCAGTGCAAATGCTAGCAATAGTTGTGCTAGTTGTGCTAGTTTTCCACAAAGATAACAAGCTGTGCTTAAATTAGCTACGGATTTTCCTGGGAGAAATCTTAATGGAGATATGGTGAATCATAAATTTGGACTACAATTTGCAATAAACAAATATGCTGCTTGCTTATGTGGCATAATCATCAGTCATTGACTTTAGCTTGAGTAGATACTACAATTCATTATAATATTTAACATATTGTGAGTGAAAATGTGACGACTCAGTTTCAAAGGAATTGAGTAAGGTCTATTAGTTGAAGTATTTGTCATGGACTCGCCATTAAGACTGAGATACTAAAGCTATATTTAATGCTTTTTTTGAGAATTTACCTCCAATTTTTGGCCTTGGTTCTTATAAAGTTGCAGCCTTATACAGCACTCATTGTACAGCATCTTATTCCCGTTCAGTCGGTTCAGTGTGTCTCCTGTAGCTAACAGTAGTGAGACAGCTTCATTGTGTGTTATTCCTGATGTTCCTCTTCATTAGAAAGCGACATCTGAAGACACTGCGTGTTTAATCTCTTAAGCTATCGCAGCACTGTCATGGTTCCTTAACAAACTCCCTGCTAATGCTCCATCACTGAAAAGGCATTAGTGTCGTGATTTCTGGATGTTTCTTATGAGCTGCCACATTAGGAGATGGCAGTGCTACATATAAAGGTGGAATTGAGGGCGAGTGCTTTCCTCATCTGACTGTGCAGACACATTTAAGTGACTCGGACGAGGGTTTTCTGTCCTGTTCTAAATCAAGCTATACTAGGTTTCTAGGGAGTCTCAAAGTGATTCTTGGTCCATTTTGAGTAACTGTCCTGTGGTTATGTAACTTTAAAATCCCCACCTCACAGATGCCATGGTGATGAAAGCCCCAGTGCTATGGCTCAAGACACCTATGAACTGAGTTCAAGCTGCTGCTTTGAGCTACATGCATACTGTATGTTCATGCACTTCATGCAACTAGTATGCATGATGGCCATAGAGCCATAAGAAGTGTTGTGGTGATGGAATATGACAATATTCTGGGTAGCCCCATACCAAAGAGTGCAACACAATGGGTGGGCTTGGCAATGAATAAACTGAGATGAATGTAGCTGAATGGACTTTTCTAAAGATATAATCAAATGGTCTGCATATGATTTGATCAAAGGGTCAAGGTCTGGATAGTCAAAATCAGCAGATGGCTACTGATCTTTCACCATGTGTTCCCTTGTGAAAAATAAGTGCCCTTAAAGTGCACTCCAAGTATACTTAAAAAAAAAAAAGGTAATACAATATTAATGCATTAAAAGCTGCTTAATAAGAGACACTTTCATAACTACCCATGTTTTCTAACACACTTAAGTACACTTTTATAATATATAAATTACATACTAGTTTTAATTGAAACAGCATTGAAGTATGTTTTAATTTACCATAAATGCTTTTCAGTACATTCAGCAGTACTTTAACCATAATTTTAAAGACAAGAGAAGTAACTGTAAAAAGATGTACTTAAATCCTACTTAAGTGGGTCAGAAAGCACTCTAAAGTTCAGCTAATTGCATTTAATATAAATTTCAACTCTTATACATTACATTTAAACATATATAATACATGTATCAACATTAACATGAAATTAAGTGTCTGAAAACGTCACATTCCGTTCACACTTAAGTATGTTCTGTTAAAATGTATTATCTCTGAATACTCCTTTTAGAGTATGCTAAAGTGTACTTCATTTTCGCAAGAGTTCTGACAAATTAAACTGCATATAAATCATCAGTACTGTATTTCATTATATTACAGCAGATGTTTTACCAGTGACAGATTATTTTTGGAGGTTGTTCAGCGTTTAAAATGGACTTGTGTGTGTCCTGTCCACCATCTTTGACCTCATAGATCA